TGATTCAGGGCAATGCAGCATTTTCAAGTCCTCACCAAGTATCTACTGACTTCATTTAAACCTTCCTGAGAGGAAATCTTCTGCTGGGTCTGACTGAATCTTACTGGTTTCTGTGGTACAACTCTGTGGACACGTGTCGGCCGCTCTGTGTTTGGATGATGTTGATGCACTGGAGGTTCTGTCACTGCATGATGTGACCTGAAGTCACGACGGTTACCCTTCCTTACTAACTTTTAGCTGTGGACAACGTTGTGGTGACCACTTGAACTGACGATGTTATTCTAAGCATTTAAAGCATTTCTGACAAATTCTCCTGAGAGTAAGGGATTAAATGGAAACTACAGATATGTTCTATTCTTTTCTTCTGGTGGAGATGAAGGTTTCTCTGTGAGTCTCTTAAGTTACTAAAGTTTCTCAGAGTGTTTGCACTGAAAACACGTCTTCTTGCTCCATCAGTTGGCGCCAGCTCAGACGGAGACAAGAAGAAAAAGCAGAAAGGAAAGGGGACCGTCACGATCAATGTTGGTCTCCCTACTAAATTAGCCACACTCAAGGTACTCGCTCCAATTAGATTACAGTAGAATCTGAATCTTTTGATACCCAATGAGAGATCGACCTCTGTATTTTGGTTTATATATATCTTCAGCTGTACAACAAAGAGCTGGAGGCAGAGTTCGGGCCATTCGATGATTGGGTGACCACATATGAGTTGTTCAGAGGGAAAGCCAATGAGGATGATGGAGCGACTGAGGAGCGTTTCATCGGCAAATTCAAGGTGAGACAGTTCCGTTGACTGTCCTTCATTCTGTATATATCTGCTGCTGCATCCCGGGAGGACGGGCAGAGTTGTTATCTATGTCATGTTGTGCTGTGTCCTTCTCTGCAGGGGAGATTCTGCCTGTATAAACTCGAGGATGAGGATGAGGACGGGGAATGGGATGAAGTTGCTGACACAGGACAGTTCAGAGTCAGCAGAGGAATCCCTCGCAACGGCCCGTCCGAAGTCCTCATACGGGTTTATATTGTCTCTGTGAGTCCCTCGTTAGACCTTGTTTCCTTTTTTATGATGCGTTCAAACCAAAAACGATGAAAACATTTTCTTTGCGTTAAGAGTAAGCGGTAAACGGACAAACTCGTGATGGCAGAGAACACTAGTGATAACTTAGATGTAGTAAAGTACAACCAGTAGCTGGAATATAGTTTCTTTAAGCCCTCTCCTTTGTATCCCTCTGTCTTGTCTCTTATACTAAATGCATCAAGCAATCTTTTTGCATTATTTCATTGACTTTGTATTTGATCTCCTCTCCAGGCCTCCAACCTCCATCCTTCCGACCCAGACGGGAAGGCGGACCCGTACATTGTACTTCGTCTTGGTAAAAATGAAATCAAAGACAGAGACAACTACATCCCTAAGCAGCTAAATCCTGTGTTTGGAAGGTGAGTTGTTCTTCGACTTCAGCAGAATCCCATGTTTCTGAAACCTCTCACGCTGTTTCTCCGTCTTCCAGATCTTTTGAGATGCAGGCAACATTCCCTCAGGACTCTCTGCTGTCATTGCTGATCTATGACTATGACATGGTGGGAGGAGACGACCTGATCGGAGAGACTCGCATTGACCTGGAGAACCGATTCTACAGCCGACACAGAGCCACCTGTGGAATCCCCACCGAGTACAGTCTGTACGTGTCCGCCTTCCTCCTGCAGATCATCCTAGCCAACAGCTTCTATTTCCATTTTCGTCCAGCTTTTATTAAAGCCTTTACTGAACCTGCTCCCTCCCTCCCTCTGTCTGTCAGTGAAGGTTATAACGCCTGGAGAGACTGTCTGAAGCCATCGGAGCTGCTGTCCAAGCTGTGCAAAGAGAACAATCTGGACGGGCCTCATTTCAGTCCAGGACGCATCACCCTCGCAGACAAAGTCTTCACTGGCAAAACACTCTTCATGCAAGAAGGTAAACTGGACTGAACACTGCTCTCATGAGGCGTCGGGTATCGACATCTGCAGTGACAGAGGTTTTTGATCGTGTGTGGGATGTGCTTCTGTTCCAGAGCAGGAGGTGGAGTCCTATGAACACTTGTCTCTAAAGATCCTGCACCGCTGGGCCGAGATTCCTGCTGTGGGATGCAAACTGGTTCCGGAACACATCGAGACCAGAACTCTGTTCCACAAGGCCCGGCCGGGCATGGATCAGGTAGACCTAAACCTTTACTAACTCAGCACGTGACGTGTTATAAACTCAAAACTATCTTTAGAAAATGATCATAAAGTCCCCGTTGTGTTCTCTTGTCTGGTTTTGAAACTTCAGAATTACTCCTCGTCATTAGTGAGTCGTCCTCAAACTCGTCTCCAATATTCGGTCACTTTTTATTGTTTGTGTGCGGAGCTTTTAATAAACTGTGGTGCAGAGTGAAGTTAGAAAACTTTGTGTTCATCCTACCTGGTTTATCTGCACTAAAGTTTTTATCAAATTAATCAGAATTACTGTTCATGTGTGGTTAATATATAAGTTTGAAAGATTTACTGAACTTATGTTATTTTTTCAAATATCACATGTCGATTATTTGAGACTTTTGTTAAACAGCCGACAAAATCTTCAGACCCAAGTTCACAACTTTTTTTAAATAAATGTTTTGCTTTCACTTTCAAGACAACTTCCAAAACAGGAAATGATTCTGTGAATGTTGTCGTCATGATGGAGAGTAATGAAATTATTAAAATGACCTGGCAGTAAATTTGACTGCTGTAGTTTAACTAACGACGTAGAAGACGACTTGATCAACTCGGCCCACAGACGGAGAGTTAAACATTTCTATGTTCCTTCAAGTTTGGAGGATTGTCCACTAACAGTGAGTGTGTGTGTGTCTTTGTGTGTGTGTGTGTCTTTGTGTAGGGTCAGATCCAGATGTGGGTGGACATGTTCCCCATGGACTTGCCTCATCCTGGACCTCCAGTGGACATTTCACCTCGTACACCAAAAGGGTGAGAGCTGCGTCTCCTGGTTAAAGACTTGATATAAGTGATTTGAAATTTGAAATGACAGTAAACACCTGAATGTGTGTGTTCAGGTACGAGTTACGAATCATCATCTGGAACACAGAGGATGTGATTCTAGAGGACAGTAACTTCCTGACCGGTCAACAGTCCAGTGATATTTACGTCAAGGGGTAAGAACAGGCTCCCAGATATGTTTTACTCAAACTCGTTGTTGATTAGTAACTATAAATGAAAAGAAAACCTAAATACAACTAAAAATAGAACTTGAAAAAGGAAAATTAATTCTGAATGACTTTAATACATTAAATAAAACTTTGTGTTCATCCTACCTGGTTTATCTGCTCTGAAGAATTTATGTGTTTGTTCATGTGTGTAGTTTATATATAAGTTAAATTATTTACTGTACAGATTTTCATACATACGTTACTTGTCTATTATTTTAGAGTCTGTTTAACAACCGACACTATCTTCACACCCAAGTTCAGAACCTTTCAAAATAAAAGCTCTGTAGTTCAAGTCAAAGTTTTGCTTTCACTTTAAAAACTTCCAAAACAGGAAAAGATGTGGTATGAAATTATAAAATTAAAACTTGTTGCCTGTTTGCCTTCTCCCATTCACTATATGTGTGAATTATTTAACATAGCGACTTACCGTCTTTCCCTGTAGCTGGTTGAAAGGTTTGGAGGACGACCGACAGGAGACTGACGTCCACTACAACTCTCTGACTGGAGAGGGAAACTTCAACTGGCGCTTTGTCTTCCCGTTCAGCTACCTGCCCGCTGAGAAGGTACTGAGCACGACCCACAATCCCCTGCAGCCCAGGTTGTTTGGCAAATGTAGAAACTGGATTAACCTCACATTTGCCTTCGGTAGATTAAGGTTGTGAGTGAAATGAAACATTCATTGAGTTATCTCCCTCTCACAGGTTATAGTGGTGAGGAAGAGAGACAGCATTTTCTCTCTGGATAAAACGGAGCAGAAGCTTCCCGCCATCCTCATTCTGCAGGTCTGGGACTTTGAGACGCTCTCCTCCGACGACTTCCTCGGTGTGTGTTTGTCAACGCTTCTCTGTAGCCTGATGTGCACTGATGCGTCACCATAGAAACACCACCGCCAACTAGCGTTTCGACGGTGTAACTGTTTCTCTCTGTGTGTGTGTGTGTGTGTGTGTGTAGGCACTGTGGAGTTAAACCTCCATGGTTTCCCTCGTGGAGCAAAGACAGCCAAGTCCTGTAAGGCGGACATGTTGACGGACGGTACGGAGAAAATCTCTATCTTCCAGCAGAAGAGAGCAAGAGGCTGGTGGCCCTTCAGCAAATCTGGAGACCTGACGGTACGTGCGCACACACACACACACACACACACACTGTATACACCAGGTCGTACAGCTGCTGAGACGTTGGCTGACGTGTTCCGTGTGCTCTGCGTGCATCAGGGGAAAGTGGAGGCGGAGTTTCATCTTGTAACCGCGGAGGAGGCGGAGAAAAATGCTGTTGGAAAAGCACGCAAGGAGCCGGAGCCGCTCCCGAAACCAAAGTAAGAGAAGACGAAGAACCAAGGTGACTTGTGCTGGTAACGAAAAGCAACTACTACTAACCAGGTCACTTTTCTTTTCCTCTCTGCTCACCTCAGTCGTCCAGACACCTCGTTTTCGTGGTTTGTGAATCCCTTCAAGTGTTTCTTCCACCTGATTTGGCGAAGCTACAAGAAGTACATCATCATCGCCCTGGTCCTGCTCATCAGCGTGCTGTTCCTCGCCCTGCTCTTCTACACACTGCCGGGAGCCATCTCTCAGAGGATCGTCAACGGATAACACAGCGCTGTACCGTCCGTTCAGAATCACCTGCATCTCTTTCGGCTTTTTTCTCGTCTGGAAAACGTTTTCTAGAAAGACCGCACTAAGTTTTAAATCGACAATGATTTTTGTATGAGGTCACTGATCTTTCACCTTTGACCCCTGAAATCTCACCTCATACGTACAAAAAGAAACAGAGTTAGACACGGTGTTTATTTTAGCTGCATTTATTAGAACCAAACAAGGTTTCAGTCAGATTTTTATCTGGTCATCATCAAACAATCATATTTGTTCTGTTACTTCCACAAATCTAAAACCTTTTTCTTTCTAGCAGCCTTGACGTGTTTCTTGTTAACGACTCCCGGGACAAAATAATACTTGTAACGTGTCCCCTCTGGTGTGACGCTCACATTTCAATGTCAACGCAAAGTGAGGAGAAATAATGAGAGATTGTCCCTGGGACATTTAATGAATTGCCAACAACTTTTTAACAAGTTTCCGACATTTATCACGAACGAATATTATTGAATGTTTCGACATAGTTTTACAAAAACATACAAATCATTTAAATAGAATATTGTGGATGTCGTTTACTTGAATCTTTGAATGAGTTCAATTTTACAGCAACTGTTTTGTTCTGTTGAAGTTGGATGTTATTGTTTAACAGATGTTAATTGAGAGTAAAGGTTTACTTACAACAAGGTACTATTGTTTTTGTGTATATATATACTGTATACTGTATACTGTAAACTGATAAGGTCCGCCATTGATATTATTTAAATTGGTATTAAAGTTAGGCTACAGCATGTGTTCAAGTTTAATCCCTTTTTGTTATTGTTTTTACGTGCTGAGTTTTTATGTTTAATTTAGTTTTTTTCGACTTGATTTTGACCTGAAAAATAAATAAATAATACTCAAAGTTCCATTTACACTGTGTCGCATCACTAATCCACCTCTGACCTCTGTCGAACGTCAACGATGCGACATATTATTGTGTGCACAGCCACAGTTGTGACTTCAATCATCTTACTGTAAGATATCTGCGTCTGTCAGAGAAAAGCTCTGGCCGATCTGGGGGTAGGACGAGGATGACGACGTTGATGTCACAGTGTGCTGGTGTGCGGCCACGATGGAGCTTCCCGGGAGCAGAGAAGAGGAGGAGATGGAGGTTATGAAGGGCAGCGCGGTGGTGATGGTGTTCGTCACAGACACGTTGTTGTCGAGGAAGCTGCTGGACTGAGGCAGCGTGGAGCTCAGTCTCTGACGACCGCTGGAGGAAGCTGCAGCACAAGACGACGGAAACATTTTTGCATTTGACAAGTGGCCGATGACATCACTTAAACGACACGTACATGAGATCATTCAGCTTCGTTTTTGTACGACAACAGGAAGTGGAGATGCGTCGTCCATCTTTTTTTCTACAGTCTATAATCGTGACGCTTTTCATTCTCATACATTAAATACAGAGTCTTTCGCTGTTTATCAATGTCAACCATCACACTCTGCTTTACAGACGGTCGTCTCACCGCACGGTTCTCTGTGCTCCTGGTGTTTGCTCCTGATGGGAACACAAGGTTGAGAAAGACCTGCAGCGCCACCTTGAGCCTGAGAGAGAAGCACAGGGAAGACTTCTGGTGAGTCTCTATCAGTGAGTCGCTCACAACTTCAGGACAATGAGCAGAGTTCAGTTCATGTGTGGAAGCAGCTTGAATCTTCACGGACCTGAGTCTGGTTCAAGCAGAACTGGAGTTTCCTTTTTGCTCTCCATCTGGCCACCCTCAGCCTGGTCTTCTCTCGGCGCTCTCTCAACTTCAAACACATTCGTCACCATTTTTAAATCCAGCTCGATGACAATGACATGCTCAGAATATTTCTGTAAGGAGGGAGTTTGCCCTGAGACTTACCATATCGGCCAGCAGCGGCTGAGGCAGCGTTTCCTCCAGCTCCCTGCGTCTGTTGAGACGTCGCTGCTGGAGCTCGTTCCTACGCACTTTGTACTGTTCATAAAAGCTGAGGTTTTTATTCCAGGGTCGTGCTTCCTGGAGAGGTGGGACGCCGGATGGCAGGGTCACAATCGACGGCAGGGAGGTTATGGGCTGAACCATCAGGTCTGAGAGAACACATGGAAAAGACAGCGGGGCTTTTATTAAACGTTTACAGGAAGACTTACGCATTAAGCTGCTGATTGATATAATAATCATGGATCTTTAGTTATTACAGCAGTTATCAATACAGACTTTGGCCAGAAGAAGAAAGTAGAAGATTCTTATCCCTACACTTCACATGGAAGTGATTGTGCTCAGCTTCTAACCCTCTCACATCTACTCACAGTTGCTTGTTCCAGTTGAGCTGAAGGCTGTGGTTTGACCTGGTTGAAGCTCTGTCGCTGAACTTTGACCCTGGAGGAGGAAACAATAACATTAGTTCAGTTACAGTTATGTTCAGCGTCTTCCTGGAGGTCTCTCTGAAGTTATCTACAGAGGATGTTGGTTAAGTTTCTATGATAATACTGAACCAACATCCTCAGTAGATAACTCTGAGCGGCTGTGGCTCGGAAGTTAGAGCGTTTCAAACTCTTATCGGAGGGTTGATAGTTCGATTCCCTTGTCTTCCTGTCCAGTCCTCTGAACTGTCTAAGATGAGAAAAGCACCATATATTTCTGCATTCCTGTTGTAAGGTTTAAAAGTTTTAGAACAGAGCATGTCTCATCTTGTACATATTGTTAAGCTGTATGAGGCGAACTGTGATTTGTGAATAAAGGCTTTACAAATAAAATGAGACTGAGTTTACTGATTGATAAATACATTTGATATTCCAAATATAAATAGAATTGAAAACTTTTGCTTATCTTCAGAGGAGAAGACGTCACAACAACTTAATGAAATGACACACGATATTATATTGACCCTGAAAGACTCTGCTGGTCCAAACCTAAGGTGGCCATCACCTGCTGCTCCTCTTCAGGCTCCTCCTTGATACAGATCACATCCTCCTCCTCCTCCCTCTGCTGCTGGGCCTCCTGCTTCACCTGCATCACAACAGGAGACGACCAGGACTGTGAGGAGAAATCAGAAGAGTGTTAGAGTGTCAGACATCCTCAACCTTCACTCCTGAAGATGTCGTCAGTCAGACTTGAGTCCTCTCATAGTCAGGGGGACACGAATTAAACATATGACTCTAAGTTTTATACTTTACTGTCCTGGTGTTTTTCTAGCATCTTTATTTATACAGACCATTGTCATTATCCAAATATAAGATGTGTAGTGGACATAACACAGTTAGAGCGTTTAAATTACAATAATTAAAACAGAGAAAGGTTCAGTGTGTAAGGTTTAGGTGAAAGAAAAACAGAAGGAAAATAAAATGAGTCTGAAAAACAGAAAAAATGATTCAAAAAAACAAACCAAAAAATAAATTACTCAGAAAACCTTTTTCAAGTGAATGCTTCCGTAGATATTTCTATTTATACACACACATAAAACGCAATGAGCAATAGTTCTGTATTTTTGTTTGGTGAATGACTTACAAGGTTGAATGATCATAAAAGGAAATGCAGAATAATTTAGATTTAATTTTTCAAAAAACGTAATAAACTTAACTAATTGATTCAGCTCTCGCTGTGATTGTGAATGAATTAACATTATAATCACAACTATGAGATCCACATTTTGTTCGTTAATGTTTTAAAATGTTGTGAAAAAAGATATGAGGATTCAAAGTAAAGATTTTTTTATTGAAAATAATGTTTTATTAAGAACTGCTGCCGTCTCTCTTTAAGAGCATTCAATGTGCAATAATGTTCAGTACAATAAAAAACTTTTTGTGTATTTCAACAGAAAAAATATACATTTTCTAATCAAATTAATTTATTTCTTCCAATGTTTTTCTCGACAACAAATAAAAGTCACATAAAGAGACAGTTTATTGTCCTTGTCCTTGTTCCATTTCAGTACAGTGTGTGTAATGTGTGTGTGTTGTCACCTGTGAAGCAGAAGAAGTCAGTGTGGAGCTGACGGCCTGAGTAGAACCATGACAGGACAGAGGTCGAGTCGCTGACTTCTTCCCCGAATCCAAAGTCAAGGTCTGGACACTAGGAGGAGCCAGAAAATCATCCACACACTCCGCTGCGTCTTGCTCTGTGGGACAGAGCGACATAAACACAGGCGCCTGTGTTCAATCCGTGCAAATATATAATGTAACAGCAGTGATGTTTTATGAAAACAATGTTTTACTGAGAAAAAAACAACAACTGGGATTTATTTTGGGTTATGCTTCCACCTGAGATCACCAAATATTTCCCACTTCATTTGGTGAAGGCCGCAGGTGAAGCTCTCCACCCCTGAAGCCCTCAGATCTGTACCTGTGCTGCTGTCCAGAGACTCTGCAGGTGTGTTCTCAGAGAGACAGACGGGAAGCAGCAGGTCAGACGAGTCAGAGCTGGCAACCACTGCATCTGACTGACAGCGCACTCGGAAGGCACGCCTGCTTGTGCTCTGTGGCGAGGTGCATTCTGGGAGCACAAACACAGAAACCAGTAAAACTCAGTGTTGAGAGAAGGGGAGGCGGAAGTCTGTCATTTTAGCTGAGGTACCTTGATTGCATCTCGTCAGCGCTCCCTCAGGGGTCCTGTTCTGAGTCGAACATGAGGCCGAGGTGTCAGTGGGTGAAAGGCCTGCAGCTCCTCTCTGCGTCTGAGGGAAGGCCGAGGGGTGGATCCGGACGAGAGTGGAAGCAGAGGCTCTCTGCTGCAGCTCCTCCTCCACCCCCTGCCTGTAGTACTTCAGCTTCAGCTCGGTGTAGCGCAGCTTGGCTCGGATGTTGTCATTCTCCTTCTCTTTCAGGGATTTCTCCCTCTGCAGCGACGTGACGTCCCTCTTCATCAGGGCCAGTTGGGATTTCAGCTCCTCAAATTTGACTCCAACCACTTTGAGCATCTCGGCCAGCACCGTCTCCACCGCTCCGTTCACAGCCCGCTCAACCACAGAGCCCATCTGACCTCGAATCAGGGATACAGCGATGCTGACATCCATTTTGTTGGTTCTTCAAAGTTTTACCTGTGAGCAGAAAAAGTTTAATCATTCAAATCTTTGAATAAAGACACTGAGAGAATAAATCACACTGAACATTAATCAGCCTACGTTTCTTGTTTAATTTAAAAATGATGTGGAAATACAGCTGAGCAGAAAAAAACATTCCTCTGTGGAGCATTTAAAGGTTCAGTGTGTAGAATTCTGTTTTCTAGAATCTAGTGTTGAAGTGTCACGTTGCAGCTGAACACCTCTCACCTCACCCTCTCCTTCCAAACATGAAAAATAACCTGAGGTAAACATCAGTTGTCATAAAAACTCAAAAGGTGTTTAGTTTGTCCAGTCTGGACTAATGTAAAAAACATGGCGGCCTCCGTAGAGAGGGTCCCCTCCATGTAAATATAAAGTATTTAAATATAAAGGGCCTTTTCTTGGGTAAAGAAAACTACAATTCATACAATTGATATGTAATGAACTAGTGAAAACATCATGGGGATTATTCTACATTACATTTCTGTCTATAGTTCCCTTTCACCTGAATCTTACACACTGGAGCTTTAAGGAAAAGCAGCATTTCATATTTCAGAGTCTGCTCCGAAGAATTATAATATTAATGTAGATGTGAAAGTAACATAACAAGGATTAGTGGGATGTGAATGTGGATTTGTTCTTAAATCTCAAAAGACCAAAACAAAATGATCGAGTCACACTTTACGAAACATCTTTTTAAAGTTTCCACGATTAAAACTCTAAATGTGGAAGAGACAGAAACACAACAGAGTAAGAAGTGACACTGATGCTCAGACATCCACACACACACACACACACACACACACACACACACACACACACACACACACACACACACACACACAGCTGCTGCTGCTGCGGTTTATACAGTGACGACGATTACAACAATAACAACAACATCTACAGTCATCTTCAACCGACAGGTATTAGCATTAGCTGACATTAGCACATTGACCATGAGGTCAACCTGCGTGTGTTTAATCAAAGAGACTGAACTCAGAAGGAGGAGAAGGAGGAGAAGAAGAATCTCACAGTGTCTCCAGGTGGTTTGTTGATTAGCCGCTAGCTTTAGCCAACACGGGACAGCCGCTGGGGTTAGCTCGTTAGCTGCGGGCTAACTTCTGCTTTAACGCATTGGTTGACTCGTTGCCGCTGGTTCCTCGCGTCGTTCATCGCGACGTGGAAATCGCGAGTTTGCGTTAAAATTGTTTCTTTCGCGTTTTCAACGTTTCGAGTGAAATCAAACAACGCTCCCGTCTGGTGGACTACTTCCGGTTTCAGGGCCGAAGATCGTCCACTGGGGACAGATGATCACTCTGTTCCAAACATGTCTACCCCTCCCCCCCCCCTGTATATAGAATTATATTGAAATTCTAATTTCCGGTCTTCTACACATTTACTTTAAAAGACTGTCCGACATGTTTGCTTTTATTTTTTTATTTGAATCCATTATGTTATGTCACTTCCTCCCTCTGTACAAAAAATGAAGCCACAACCTCACAGATGCAGGTGCTGCCATCTTGTGGAGGTGATGTAAATGTGTTACACTCCCCTCCCCCAGCTCCAAGATGTCTGTGTATGAACAGTAGTGACAGCTAAAGTTTTTTAATGTTTATTAGCTCTACTGTCATCAAACGTTCACACGAGTGTTGTCCAATTACTGTCTGTGGACGTGTTACTACCAAGTTACGCAAACTACAGCGTACTGCGTTGTTACGAACTGACGTAAACATGGTTCCTATGCCACTGGAACTCTATCCACCCGTTATTCAGGTGTGACGTCATCCTGAGCTCCGAGGCGACCAGCGCTAACCAGCCTATTACGATATTACAAATTCAATTATATGCAAAAAGTGAGTTTGCATTATTGAAGTTTCTAACATTTGCTTTTTGCCCACCATGTTATCGCACAGACGACATAACTATATAAATTCAATGTTTGCGTTCATTCCGACACCACAGATGCTTAAATAGGATTGCAGTCATAATAAAACAGCTTGTCACTGTAGTTTTTAACCTAATACTCTCACTGAATAAACTACAATGTGTTAAAACTTTTTTCTGGAGTGTGTCAAAGAGAAAGCAGGTGGACGTGACAGCACCTTCAGAGACCAGGTTGTTTACCTCTTTAGATGTTTTGTTCCACTGTGGTTCATTTGGTTTAATTGCTCTCACAGGATAATGAAGATAATCCCACAATGACCAGTTCTACTGTAACAACCATACGTCCAAAAAAAAAAAAAACCTTACTCAGCATTGTGCTTCATAGTGAATCATTAAAATATAACGACAAACGGACTCTGAGACTGAATAATGATAAAACATATTAAATCTTTGTGGTCGTCCTGTGTGAGGTTCGTGTGGAGGACTGTCCCATGAGGGGAACACACAGTGGCCACTGGGTCGTACAGTAATTAGCTGTATGAAGTGTGGCTGCAGCCGTGTTCCCTGAGGTCAGCTCATCAGGGACGTCACAGCAGAGCACTTCATTACAGTTCCCTTACATCATCTCTGGGCCTGAACAAATATAAATGTCTCTTTTAAAGTTGAAAGTCTTGATTCGAGGGGTTTACGTTCTCGTCACTGAAATGTTAAAACATTAAGAACTCTTCTCACAGTGTGGTGGAATGTAATCAAGTAGATTTAATCAAGTACTGTCCTTAAATCAAACTGAATATTTTTACAGGATGTGCTTAAAAGTACTTTTACTCTCCTCTATTTTGAAAAAAGAACCACACAAACTTGTAGGAAGTTATTAAACTACCTCTTTAGTCTCTTTAGTATCTGTATTTTATCCTGACATTGCTATTATACCTATTGGTTATTTCTTCCAATATTATTGTGGTTATATATTTGGAACCAAAACTGCATGAGCCCATGAATCTATTCCTGAGTAGTTTTTTATTGCACTGCCTTATGGTGCGTATCACGAAATCAAAGCCTCCTTCTGCTTCATTCACATATTTGTCACACACATGTTTGTTGTAATGTTTGTGGACACTTAACGACGTCTGTGTTTCGACACGGCTCCAACGAGTTTGTAGATTTTCAAACTCTTCTCAGGATATTGGTCCTCAGAAGTGACTTATCTCTTTAAATATGTTTTAGATTTAACGACAGTCTCACGATAGCACCTGAGACTTGATTTTTGTCTCTGTGATGATGTCATGATTCTGAACTTCTCTCATATCATCTTTAATTGAAACAGAAAATCTGATGATGTGACCGATGGAAAGAATCAGTGAACGTGCGTCAGGTGATTTATTGATCTTTCAAAGTGAGAGATTCATGTTTTGTTTCCACTCGTCAGTTCGTCGTCTCGGCTTGAGACGGAGTCAGACCCAGTAGCTGCAGTAAACTGAAATACGAGTAGATCCACGGCCGGGAGATTCCCTGAGTGCTCTCCAGACCTCCGGCCTCCAACACGAGACCCCTTTTGAAGGCCAACTGCTGGTGCAACAGCGCCACCTCTCTGCACAGTGAGGGAGCAGATATGTGACAGACATTAAATGATTTCTCCTTTGTTTCAGCTTAATTAATTAATGTGTTTATAAATGAATGCATTCATCTATAAATAGACTAAAAATAATTCAATTGATATTTTAACTGGCAATAAAAGTGGAATCATACCAGAGTTTATTTATGAAATATGAACCAAGTTAATAAATAGTTCAAATTAAAAATAATGATTAAAAAAAACCGTCAGTAAGAAAAATAATTACAGAATATACCTGGCGAGCTGCTCTGCTTGTAGCCTGGCCTGTTCCGCGGCCCATAGAGTGGCCTCCTCTTCTCTCCTTTTGGTTTCCTCCTCGTTCTTCCTCCTCTCCTCTTCCTCCTGCTCCTTCAAACGTAGGTACTCTATCCTGTCGCTCTCATCCATCTCTTGGAGCTTCCTGTTCTCCTCCTCCTGCCTCTGCTGCTCCTCCACCTGCAAACGTTCAAGCTCAGCTGGAAGAGAACGAAAAACAAGATTTTCAAAAAGTTATGATTGCGGATCCGACTACTTATCTCCTCTCCCTTATCCTCCCTTTACTTCCTCTCACCTTTCCTCCTCTGCTCTTCCTCCTCTCTCATCCTCTGCAGTCGCTCCATCTGCCTCCTTCTCTCCTCCTGACTCCTCTTCTCCATTTCTCTTCGCACTTGTTCCCGTCTGACTCTCGCCTGCTCCTCTTCCTCGAGCCTCCTCCTCTCCTCCTCCTCTGCCAGCTTCTTCAGTCTGAGGATGGAGACAGAAGATCAGTGACGGAGCAGGGTACCATAATGTTTTAAATTTTGTATCCTTGAAGGTAGGACCTGAGCTCCTCAGATCTCTTCCTCCTCTCGCCCTCCAGCTCGCTCTTCATCCTCTCCTCCGTCTGCTCCCTCTCCTGCTGCCTCCTCTCCTCTTCCTCCCGCTCCCTCCTCTTCCTCTCCACCTCCTGCCTCCGTCGCTCTCTGCGCTGGGCCAGACGCAGGGCAGCCGCCTCCTCCTGACTCATTCTGGGTAACTAAAACACAAAGAGTCCAAATAAGAACTGTGACTACGTTTATTATTTCATTTTAGAAATGAAATGAATCAAACACAAGTGCTGTTTATTATTTCAGCTCGTGTTCTACCAACCTCCGGCTTAACTGGGTTCAACATTAGCTGTTCGTCCGGCACCATGACAGTGGAACATGACGACAGACGACCACATGCTGAAGCGAGACCTGTGGCGCTGGCTGTCATTGCCCCCGAACAGGAAGAGGCTGCAGACCTCCTGGAGCTCCAGCGATGGAGGAGGGACGCAGCCTCACTGGACCTGAGTGAACTCACCGATCGGATGCTTCTGTGATCGTCATTGCTGGAGAGAAGATCTGTTTCCACATCTTCACTCGTCTTTGCTTTGGTTTTGTTTTTGTGTGTTTGTGTTGCAGACGGGCTTTTGGGGGATTTTAGGAAAGACTCTTCTTCTTCCAGCTCCTGGTCGATCTCCAGCTCCTCCTTCTCCACAGGGTCGTCGTGGTTCTCTGTGGAGAAATGAAAAGACATCATGTGTTAGTGGAATCTCTCGTACATGTGTTGGTGGTACTTGGATAAAACTTGTCTTACCAACGACTAAATCTTTGTGTGTCAGCCTCCCTCTCCTCTTCCTCCTCTTCTTCCCAGCAGACACCTCCTCCTGCCTCACTACTGCTTCTCCTCCTCCTCCTCCTCCTCCTCCTCCTTCCACATTCTTCTTCACCTCTCCTCTCTTTCCTTCTCTCTCATTTCTCGTTTCCTTTATCTGACAGGCAGAGATTAAAACAGACAGAAAAGTAACTGTAAACCTGGATGGTGTCTGATTTCATGCATTTCTTTGGATGAATATTTTCTCATAGAGTATTTCTGTGTATTTAAACCATTTTACTAATATACTTCATAAACTTTGAGAATATAATAACTTTAATAAACACAGCTTCAGTGTGAATGTCACTTCTCACCGCTGAGGGAGGAGTCTCTGCTGCTCCTCTGTTTGTCCGCTCCTCTGGTTTCTGGCTCCTGATTGGTTGAGAAGTGTCTTCTGTTTTTCGTCTCTGCCGTCCTCTGTCTCTGCCTGATGTCTTCTGTCCCTCTGATTCTGCAGTTTTACCACTTTTCCTACGTAAACGAAGAACACTGTGTGAGCAAGTGCAACGACTACTGAGAATATTTTTGAAAGATGTAAATCTGCAAGGTTTCGTCTCGTTGCAGTTTTTGATTATTCCTCATCGTATCCACCCGGTGGTTATTGCAGCTTCCTCCGCGCCCTTCCTCTTAATATTCCTCCTCCTTCTGTCCACAGCTTCTTCTGCTGTTGCATCAGTTGGTCTGATGTTCTGCTCGCTGCCAAACGTTTCATCTTTATCATGATGCTTCTTTCTGGACTGACTGAAGAGAGTCAAAGTAATTCACATCAACCCAAAGAATTAAAAAAACGGTTTTGGACGTTTCACAATACAAAAAAAAATGGAGAATGGAGAGACCATCTACTGAGGGACATCTAGAAAACTTCTGGTTTTCTGGAGAATTTAACGAAGCGTAACATTAAAACATCAAATTAAACATGAATTAAACAAACTCTGGTCGCTGTGATGCAGACAAATGTCCAGTCTGTCCTGTCCTGTCCTCCTCTTCCTCCTCCGCCTCAGCGTCGCCTCCTCTCTGCTCCTTCAGTGGAGGCATCCTAACATTGTTTCTCACATCCTTCTTTGGTTTTGTTAATGTTTCCGTACCTGCTACTGCACTTTTTGTTTTTTTCAGGGGCACAGCCACTAGAGCAACAAACAAAACACTTTAATAAAAAAATCCAATTTAAATTGATATAAAATAAGCAGCAGAGTTGGACCTGAGTCAGTTGGGCTGGTGGGTGAACATGTGTCAGTCGAGCCATGGACGTCTGGGAACTGGTGGGAGACCAGAAATCCCACAGTTCATCAGACAGTACAGAGCAGACGGTTCTTTTCTCCAGTATTCTGGATCATTTCAGGTCAGTTTATTGTGAAGGAGAGACAGAAAACAAACCAGCACAGACAGAATCAGATCAAGCCGACTGACCTGTTTGGTTCTGAGTCTTCGCTCCCGTGCAGCAAACTGACCCACAGACCCGTGACTTTCTGTTCCCTGGAGTAAACAGAAACAGAACAAAACAAGATGATGAAAAAATAAAACTTCTTGCACCTGGAGAGGATCCTGGATCTTTACACCAACTCACCTTGTGTGTGGGTAGATGCTGCTGCACGTTACTTACAAGAGCATCTGTGTTCAGCTCCACTGCTCCGTCTACACACACACACACACATACAATAATGATCGGTTAGAGCAAAGAGAAGGACAAAGACTCTTGTCATGCACACAGAGGTTGTTTAAATATTTGTTTTAGCCTCAGCGTATCCCCAAGTTCTGCCAGTGTGTGTGTGTGTGTGTGTGTGTGAGTGTGCAGACCTCTGTGTGAGTCCTCAGGCTGCAGCACAATGATCCAGGGTAACGTCTCTCCGTCTGTTGACAGAACCTGGAGAGCTGAAAACCAGTGAGTTACTGAGGATAAATACTCTGTTGTGATGATGTGCAGGTTTTGGCTCGTCCTTCGTACCTTGCCGTTGTGTTCCATCATCGACCTGAGATGGATCCTGGCTGTTGTTGTCGTACAGAGACAGCTGAATGATTTCTCCATCAGGACCCAGGATCAGGCTGCCGACAAATTCGCCGTTCTGCAAATCTGACAATACAACAGCTCTGAAGAAACAAGACTTTCAGGTTCAAGACTTTTGGATAGATTACACATTTGAAAGCAGATGTCTCAGTTTTCGTGTCTACGTGCAAATAATGGACGTCTGAATTTGTTTGATTATAATAAAAATACAGACTTTGGACTTTTTAACTTTACTTCTATATTCACAAAAAAAGCTCTAAAACACATTAGAGGAAAGAAACACATCGCTCCTTTAAATATGGTCATTTAAGACCTAATGACAGTTCTTGGATTAACAATCCCCACAGCTTAGTGAGGTTTGTTTGCTTTAAACTAACTACAGTCCATTCATGCAGCAACATATAATGTATATTTACTTCATACTCTGAGGATCATGGTTTGCTCCATCTCCAATTACCTCTCAGCTCCAGAGGTAGAAGGCCCCTGACCACAGCTCTGTCAGCAACCCTGGACCCGCAGGGATCCTGGAGGTCAGGCAGTCGGTTCTGTAAGAAAGCCAAAGAGCTCTGCCGGCCCGGACCTTTCCGTCCCGCGACACAATGCGACACTGGAGGAAGAGGAGGCTCTGGAGGAGGAGACAGAGTGAAACACCACCTCCACATCTTTTTATAGATTCAATTAAATGTAGAGAAACACAACATTTTATTAAACTCAATGGAGAATTGCAGTGTTGAGAAAGACGTGAATCACAAATCAGAACAAGAGAACTAACGACAAAAATAACAACTAGAAACTGAGACAGTAATAATCTTTACATGGTCGGTGCAAAACCAGGACTGTGAAGAGTTAAATTAAATACAATTTAGACAAAACTTCAAACCTAGTTTAGAAAAATATCCAACAATATATGGATTTGTGATTTATTTTAGATTTAAAATAATATGTGTGTGTGTGTGTGTGTGCACTGTACCATGTCCTGGCTCCAGCAGAATCATAGCACCTTTCTCAGACGGCAGCCTTCCTCCCCCTCCTCCTCCTCCTCCCCCTCCTCCTCCTCCTCCTTCTCTTCTTCCTCCTCTTGCTGCCGTCTGATTTTTAAAGTAAGGTCTCTCGGTTTTTTCTCTTTCTCGTCTCTGCTTCACACTCATCTTCTCTGAAATGCAGAGTGAGGATGGAACACTGACAGATACTTGAAGTTAAATGCTCCTGATGATTCAAACTGTTTACTCAACAGGAGGTTAAAATGAATCCGTCCTTATTTATGACCTGTTAAGAATGAGGAGTAAAGGAGGCAACATGGACAATCTGACCAACACTTTCCCTCTGGTAGTAGATTCCGCCTCAAGCAAAGAAATCACTGAAGTTCGAGGTCCATTAAATTTTAAAATGTAGGAGATTAAGAGTCAGTTTAATCAGTTGGATAGAAAGGACAGTTTTATGTCTTCTCTGTTTACCTTCTTGTTCAGGAAACAGTGAGGATAGAACCAAAGGTGGCAGACGGAGCCTATTCGGATTTTCCCTGGACTGAACCGTGTCTCTTTCTGATCGAGGTCGGACGTCCTGCTGGTTCCGATCCTGGATCACTCGTGCGGGGGGAACTGCTATGGGAGGTAGATGCTGCGCACAGTGTTCGGAACCGTCCAACTGAAATATTTCAACACAATAGATGGTGAACATGCACTTTTTGTACTTGTCCAACAACAATGTAGACCAATAAGTCGTTTGGACATAAAATATACTGATTTATAAAAATACACTAATGTATGCCGTCCACTAAACAGTAGTCAGGTTTTTTCAACTGATGGACATCGGGCTGTTCTAGAAGCTGATGTCTTACCCAGTCTGTCTTCTCTCCGGAGGATCTGTAACAGGCGGATTTTCCCAGTTCCATTGGAGGAAGGTGCAGTCCTGTGTGTTGGAGATGCAATCATAACCTCACCGTCATTCTCTTACCAACTATCGTTCTTATACTAACAGACAAACACTTTGGCATCAACTACTGACGCAGTACCCGACCAATGCAATCTGAATTTTGAGACAGATTCATACTTTTTAATTTGAATGTAAGACAGTTTAACACGTTTTAGGGATTTGCGGCCACCCTGTGAAACTTGACCTGTCCTCCCGTGTCGGCTCCCACTCATCGATCTCTCACAGTTGCCTTTATCACTGAGTGTTTCACTGCTTCTCCGAATGGAACAGTCTGGATCATCCGCCATGTCGTGGAAAAGGTTCATGTGGGGATAATCTCCTCCTGTACTGTGATGGTTTATTTCAGTGTACTGTGAACTTTCAGTTTGCGGCAGACACATTTCATAGAACGCCTGCAGTTGGTAGTAAAGACCAATGAATTACACTCAATTCATATTTTGCAACGATAAAGGAGCATTAATTTGTTTTTATAGAAATGAGGAAGACACCTGATCTTCTTCTGGTTCCTCAGGGGTTAAAGCTACATAATGTTCCCAGGGCTGAGGCTCCGTCTGTGGGGTTGGACTCCTGGAGGTACAGGTTATGTGGAGGAACACATCCAGCCTGACTCTGCTCTTGTTGTCCAGTTCCTCATCTGCAGAGAACGTTCACTTTAGAATTGGTTTTATCCTTTCGGTCACTTTTATCTCAGCAAAAAGCAAAATAAGACACAAGTCCAAGTGTGTATTGGGAAGGGAATCTCTCTCCCTGTCTGATTTGTTTCTACCTTCAGGTTGATTCTCCAGTTCTTCAGTGTTTTCCTCTGCAGGAAGCCACACTGGGTCCAACTGCACCAACAGCTCTGGACTGGGCTGTGCTGGTGTTGGGCGAACAGGCTGAGGACTGGGAGAGGGAACATCTGGACCCGGAGGGAGGTGAAGAGGAGGAATGAGGGACGGAGCGAGTCGGGAAGAGGAGAACTGTAGAAGAGGAGACACATCGGATTCAATTTTTGCAGAGGAACTCCATGACAAGCAAACATCTGTTGATATTTTGTACACAAACAATGAGAGATAAACACAATTATCCAATTTAAGGTCAAAGTTATGGTTCTAAACTTCACTACAAGCAAAATGTGGAAGTTACGTCATAATTAAAAATATGGTTTCACCTTGTTTGAGGCCACCCCCCCCCCCCCCCCCCCCACTACTACACACACACACTCATCAGAAACATGAACAGAATGACAGAAATGATTGCTATCCGGCTATCCAGGTGTTTTAGCTTCACTTTTGGGTTTGATCTGTCGTCTGAGCAAGTACACACAACAACATTGTCTTAAATAATACAGAACAAACACATATAAATTATACACATAGTATATCTAGAGAAGTCATCCCCATCTACCGGATTGTTACTGTAGCTCAAAATGGCCGCTGTCAGCTCCTTCAGGGTGCTGAGCTGCTTCTCCACTTGTTGATAATACCGTCGCACAACCCGCTTCTTCCTGTGACCAGCCACTGACCCACGACTGGTTTCCATAGAAACCAGGTCCTGGATTTAAAGGAAAGGGTGAAATTCATGGTTTGTCTGTCCGCATGTATATATGTAGATATCTTATTGACTGTGCTTCTGTCACTGTAGTAATATGTAAATACCTGGGAGTACAGTAGCAGTGGGCCCCTACGAGTGCTGTACGTCTTTGGAAGGGTCGACTCTGCTTCCGCGAGTAGACGACCACTGTTGGACAAACGCAGCAGAGACTCCTGGGACTTCCAGATGTAGTAATCCTTTGGAAGATGAATGGATTATATTGTTGAATTATACAGCAACGAAAGTCTCGATTGATTGATGGACAGTTGGTTGGGGACTGACGTGGCAACTAATGTGTATTTAAATACTGACACACGATACAAAACATATACAAATACCGTATAAACTGTATTCCGACAAAATAATGAATGTACCTGTGGTGTGAAGCAGACGTCCAGGCGTCCATCATGTCTTCCAGGGTTTCTCTTGGATGAGATGAATCGACCACAGCCTCGACTCAGCAGGGACAGAGACAACTCCTTCATGATGTCATCTCAAGCTGGTGGATGATCAGGACATTCCGTAAATTCCAACGTGCACCAAATAACCGAGATTTATAACAATGCTAGTTGTTGTCAAATCTAAATCTGGCTGGATAATTTAAATAAACCTAAATTCCTCAATCGCCAAGAGAATAATTAACTCCCGGGGGGGAGGTCACAGACTTACAGGAGAAAAGACAATAAGAAAGAGAGGTGTGTTTAGTTTATCAGCTCATTATTACAGCTTCTTCATTTAGATCATGTTCAAGAGAATTAACCGTTAAAATACAAAACATTTGACATACCTGTCTTCTCTCTGACTCGTGTGTCTCTGTCTCCCTTCAAGCTGTGTGTGTGTGTGTGCCTGAGAGAGAGAGAGAGAGAGAGAGAGAGAGAGAGAGAGAGAGAGATTGTATTAATCTGGGCAGCTTCTCAAAACTGACACACACACATACATTCCTATGCTGCCAACAGTGGACTGTCAACTTAGGCTGACCAACTGAGGACGACGATTTGTCCATGTGCAGAGTTTTTAATTCTTCTTTTTTTAGGACACTGGATTTCAAACTTAGCAGCGCATCGATATGATCAAACCCTCGACCTCAAACCCTCTCAGTGCTCGATCTATTCGATATGGAACTAACAGTTCAACCTAATGACAACAAAGTGACCGAAAGGCCCTCTGGATGATGATGATCATGTTTATCTCATGGAGGTCGGACTTCAAACTCTACCCACAACCTCAAAATTTCCAATTACTCTTCAAACACCCCTGAACACGTCGGGGGAAAAGAAGAGTCCTGGTAAAGCACAAAAACCTGAATATGTGTGTTTGCATGTTTGCGTGTCCATTTGTTCCAGTTGCTAGGTTTTCTCGAGTTGGTGCGCTGTGTTTCTTTCTGTTTCCGTGGCTGCAGTGACACACACACACACACACACACACACACACGCTCAGTTTGCTTCCAGACCAGGTTACAGTCTAATGACAGAATTGACGGAGCACCTTGTACCAAACAAGACTTGACATTATTATACAAACATTATCTGTACTATTTTCCAGACTGGCAGAATTATTGGCCCGACCGAGGCCGGTATGTGTTTTCACCCCTGAAACTTTGTGGAAGGATCTGACATTCGGGCAGAGACAGTGAATGTCTTTGTATTCCCTCCTTTAACTTTGCAAGACTGGGCCCTTGGTGGACGTCTGCCACTCTGGTTTGATTACTGATCATCTCCCCCAAGGCGTTTCCCAGGTGATTTGTGAGGTCACAGTGGCCTTGATCTTTTGACCTTTGACCAACAGAACATAATCAGTTCATCTTTAAAAGTACAGTGTGTAGAATCTAGTGACATCTAGTGGTGAAGTTGTATGCTGCAGCTGAATCCCGCCTTCACCTCACCCTCCTCTTCCTAACGTGACAGAGAACCTGTGGTGAACCTCATAAAAACTCAAAAGATGTGTAAACTGTAAAAAACATGGTGACCTCCACAGAGAGGACCCCGCTCGATGTAAATATAAAGTATTTAATTATAAAGTATTGAAATATAAAGTATTTAAATATAAAGGGCCCATTCATACAATTTACATCTTGAGGATTATTTTATATTCAACTTGTGCCAGTAGATCCCTTTCACCTACATCTTACAGACTGAACCTTGAAGTCAAGAGTTTGTCCCAAATTTGATTTTATTCCCTCGAGGAATTCTTAATAATATAAAAAAAGTTACTTGATTTGAGATTCTCTGTAAACGTGACGACATTGAACGAGAGAATCAGGCTCAGTCTGGACTTGCATCACATTTTGCTCGTCGTGTTTTTTTTTTTACCGGCTTCAGTATAAAGGTGGAGGAGCTGCTGCAGTCGGTCTCAGTGGGGAGGGGAGGTTTCCTTCTGCACTTTTCTGTTGACCATCAATCTGTGAAGTTTTGATACGATTAAAATGTGAAATATGGCAGAATGGTATGTACACGATTCCGATCGACTTGCTCACAAAAGCTTTTAACTGTTTGGAAGTGGGTCTCACAAACGTTCATCTGTCTTAACTCTTGTATCTTGACATGTTTTTTTTATGTACAATGTCAATCATGTTTATGAATACGTAAAGTAATGAATGAAATCATGTTTATCTACAGTTGAATTCTGTAACCACACATTTTACCAATAACTGTTTTACTCTGTTCAGGGTTGAATTCTTAAGGAGAGAAGTTTGCTTGAGTGATTTTCTTTAATTACCCTTGAAAAAGCGTTTCACACATATCCTCCAAAGTCTTGTGGGGAAACATATTAACCCTCATGACTGCGACGACGATGCAGAACTCAACAGAGACTCTGTCGTTTGTGTTGGCTATGTATGGTGACGCAGGACAGTTAAAGTACCTGTACTTCACTCTGGCTCTGCTATTTTACATATCAGTGATTGTTGCAAACTCTGTTCTTATCATCATTATTTATATGGACCAAAATCTGCACGAGCCCATGTATCTGTTCCTGTGTGGTCTGTTTGTTAATGAGATATACGGCAGCACGTCTCTGCTGCCCTGCTTCATGGTGCATATCTTGTCAGAGACTCATGAAATATCCGCCTCCCTCTGCTTCATTCAAGTATTTAACATTCATACATACGGAACTATTGAATTTGGCACGTTAACAATTATGGCATACGACCGTTACGTGTGCATTTGTAAACCTTTACATTACAGCGTCACAATAACGAAAAGAAAAGTACAGATGGTCATACTTTTTATCTGGACATTTTGCTTTTTAGAGATTGGAGTTTTGTTGTCTTTTACTGTTCGTTTAAAGTTTTGTGGGACTGTTATCAACAAAGTATTTTGTGCACATCACTTAGTTGCTGATCTTTCTTGTTCATCAGACAGAACCGTGTCTCTGGTTCACGATGTGTTTTTCGGTCTCATTGTCACGGTCACCGGTCCTGTCAGTTATATTTCATACAGTTATGGAAATATTTTGTTAGTGTGTTTAAAAGGTTCCAAAGAGACGAGAAAGAAGGCTTTGGAAACCTGCACTCCACATTTTGTTTCCCTCATCAGCTTTGTGTTCGCCTGTTTTTATAGTTTGATCTCACAGAGATCTGACGCGTCCTCAGTTCCGTACCCTCTCTGTGTTTTTTTGTCTGCGTATGCGATGGTGATTCAGCCTCTTCTCAATCCTGTGATCTACGGTCTTAAACTGTCAAAAATTAAAAATGCTTGTAAAAACCTGTTGACATTAAAAACATCACAACTCTACATTTCTCCTGGAGCGTATTTAAATCCCACACTTCATTATTAACTAAACACTTTTTGACAACATACACACACACAGTACAGAATGTGAACACGTCATTAAATATGTTGCATTAATTACAAGGCTTGAATGTTCTTGGGTTACTCGTCTGTAATGAGGTGAATTCATTTAANTACTTGCACAAATACACCACAGCAAAGTCCTTGTATGTGTAAACCTGCTTGGCAATTAAACCTGATTCTGAATTTATGTTAAACATAAGACGAACATTAATGAGAAGTATTTACACAGATACAGAACAATAATGACCTATTAGCCTGTGACTTTAAAGACTGTGTATCTCTACAGTAGTTTTATATCTCTGGAGCCAGGTTTCAGTATCTTCAGAGTGAGAATGAGTTTAATACATTTTCTGAACCAGGGGTAGAAGAAGGCGTAGATGACCGGGTTCAGACAGGAGTTAAAATGAGCCAGCCAGATCTCAACGGCTGCAGACGAAGCATCGATGGACGTGTCTTCACCTGCCAGAGTTGGGAAAAAATACGGACAGAAACAAATCAAAAACACAACGACCACAATGCCCAGAGTCCCGGCTGCTTTCATTTCTGTCTTCTTCACAGTCCCTGAACGCTGAGCTGTCACGGCCACAACGTGAGTCCTGATGGCTCGAGCGTGAGCCAGAGCCACCATGAACACCCTCAGATACAGAACTATGATGAGAGCGATGGGAATGATGAAGGTGAAGATGAGGTCAATGACTCCCGCGATGTAACTGATGACGACGACACACTCCCCGAAGCAGGAGTTGGACCGGCCTGGACGCCGCAGGTGATCGTTCAGGAGCAGAAGCCTGTAGAAAACAGAACAAACCCAACAAAAGCAAACACACACTTGTGCTCGTCTCTTCGTCACTTTGGTGGGGTAACGCAGAGGGTCACAGATGGCGATGTAGCGGTCAAACGATATCAGCACCATGGTGGCGACCGAGGCCGAGGTGATCATGTAGTCTAGAACGTAATACAGCGTGCACACGATGTCACCGAGAAACCAACATTTCTCTATGTAGATGATTTCAACCGGCATCAGCAGGATGCCGACGAAGAGGTCTGAGATGGCCAGGGAGAGGAGGAGGAGGTTGGTGGGGGTGTGGAGCTGCCTGGAGAGGGAGAAATTCATCACTACACTGTAATACACAGAAGTTACTTCACTGGTAATACCAACACATGTAAACAGGAGGATGATATCTGCCTGAAGTGGGAGATGGAGATGATGACGAGCAGGTTGAGAGCCACGGTGATGATAGAGATGGAGGAGAGCAGGACGTAGATCAGCATGGCCTGGGTGTAAGGTTGGCTGGGCTTCCTGCAGGAGCTGTTGAGTCGTGGGAAGCAGAGTTCACCTCCCTCCGGATTCTCCATCGTCAGAGAGGAGAAGCTGCCGACTGTCGTTCTCTCCAGTCGTGCTCGCTTTTATCTCGCTCCTCCGGGTCGCCCTTCCTGCCACTGCTCAACGGACACTAAGGAATCCCCCCCCCCCAGAAAACTTTCCATCATGCACTTGACTGACAGTTGTGCTCAGAGGAATTCTGTTTTACCGTCCATCCCATTCTCATGAACACAATGGTGAAATTAAAAGCATTAAAATCTAAAATGGAAACAATAAGAAAACACTCCTTTGTCTTATTCTTGTTTTATCTCAATTGTCTGATTTTATGATTATTACGTTTTGGACTACTGGACAGATATTACCACAAAGCTTTGTGGGAGGATGTGACATTAATCCGGACAGAATGAATTTCAGGAATTAGGATTCTCTTTTCTAACACCGACATGTTCAGGAGACTGAAATTTAAGAGTCTAAACATCTGGATCTAGTGAATTTGAATGTGATGTCATGAGGGAACTGTTGGGCCGTGAACTCTACTGAGTGACATCCTACTTATTTCTTTGTCAACACTGAACTGTAGATCAGATAAAAAGACAACACATTGATAGACCTTGTGTGGCTGCAGAGGGCGCTGTTGCTCAGTAAAGAGAGTCAGATACATGTCCTCAATCCAGACTGACAGTTTGATCCGGTGGTCACTTGTGGTTCTTGCAATGAAAAGAAATATATGTACATTTACGTTAACGCCGCAAAACTGCTTCTGTG